CGACTGACCCATCAATTTGCTATGACATATTATTCGTCGAAATAAACAGATGAAAGCAAACTATCTCAAATGGATTTCTGTTTCCAATTTTCCTAAATTTCAACAGTTTTAATGGAATAATTGGATCATAACAGATCATTTTAATGGAATAGATCAGATCACTTTTCGTAGATCATTACACATGCATCAACTTTTTTCGTTTTTTAATGAACAGAAAGAATTCTTGTGACAAAGTTTAACTCAGGAAATTTTCCGGAAATCTAAATCTTATCCAAAGTTGCCTTTATCTTCCCTTTCGGTTGCACCTAAACATGCAAAATTGAACTGACAATGCTTTCGAAGCAATCATAAATACTCTCGCAATTCGAGCACAAACCTATCAATAGTGGAAGCTCTTTGCATAATTCACAAACCGGAGATGCCATGAGGGCTTTTCCAGGAGATTCGATGTAGTGTTGTAGATGGGTGTGGATGGTGTCGGTGGAATTTTTTGCGATGAGCATGGAAATATATATTAACAAGCCGGATTATATTTTTGTTCTGATTAAAGAATTTCTAAAAAAATCTTGAATTTGATTGAAAAGAAGATTAAGGTAACTTTTGCATTTTAAAATCCAAGATTAGATAGTAAAATTATTAGGGAAGAAGGTATGATGCAATGGTATTCACTTGAATTCACTTCAATCCTTTTAAATATTTATTTCAATTTCATAATGAAATTTCGCTACAGTAGTAAAATAAGAATTTCAAATAAATTATCCATCAAAAATTCTGAAATAATGATAATCATAATCGGATCTTTATTTTAATTCATTCCATTAATTATTCTATTAATAAATATGCCTCAAATTTTCTTGTCCGACCTTTGCAAAAACTAACAAATACTTCAGATTTTTCCATCCTAAATTATTATCTTTCTTACCTTATAGAATTTGGCTGAAATCATATTCCTAAAACAAAATATCATAATTAAATTTTATTGTTGAAATAATTATGAAATTTCAATCCATTATTACTTTATTCAAAATAATCATGATTGATATTTTTATAGTATAACGATGAATTGATATAACGATAATTGATATAACTGATATAATTGATAATTGATATAATTGATATAACGATGAATCATCCCGAAATTCTTTTATTTTAAAAATAATACATTTTCATTTTGCACCTTATAACATTAAATATATTTTAAAATTTTAATTCATTTTTTTTTCATCTTCTCTATCCAATTCTAAATGTGATATAGTTGTGTAAAATGTATTTGCCTTATAATTATCCAATGCCTAGAAATCTTCTTTATCTCAGCCATCTATGTGTTGATATCCTATTTATTGGCTCATTATTTTCTTCACATGCTAGGCATATTTTTATCTCTCTACATTGTTGATTCATTTTTCCTTTTATTTATCTTTTACTTTATGCACATTTCTTATGCATATAATTTCATGTGATCATTATTGAAAACAAATTATTTTATACATTCAATTTCTTTTTTCATCATCTCTTAATTGTTAATTATATTTTATAATTTAGCCAATTAATATAAATTCATAGTAATTAGGAAATTTAGTAAATATAAAAAAAGATAATGAAAAAATGAAAATATAATGAAAAAAAGAAAAGAATTAGAGAAAATGAAGAATAAATTTTCGAGAAATAACATTATTCGTAAGAAGAAAATAAGAAAAGATAAAAAAATAATTTTTTATAAAAAATTAAAATTTATATTTTTTCTTTTAAAAAAAGACAAAATTCTTTAATTTCATTTTATACATTTATTTTAATAGATCTTTCCTATAATTTTGCTAATTGCTAACATTAAATAATAAAATAATTATTTACTGCTGGAGAGAAGAACTTTAAAAAATTATGGTACCACTAAAACTAATTATTTATTGCTGGAGAGAACTTTAAAAAATTATGGTACCACTAAAACTAATTATTTATTGTGCTGAGAGAACTTTGAAAAATTATGATACCACTAAAACTAATCATTAATTGCTGGAGAGAACTTTAAAAAATTATGGTACCGCTAAAACTAATAGCAACAAAACTAATCAAACAAGAAATAATCAGTTGCCTGAAAATGGAAAAAGAAATACGATTGAATTATCCGTTCTTCTTTCTATTTTTTCTTCTTAAAAAATTTAGTCTTTTTTTAAATTTCATTTTTCTATCTTTTTCCCTATCATTCATTATTATTGCATGAATTAAGTTTCGGAAGATAAAGAAATTGCTTAGAAATAATTAAAAGAATGATTAATAGTTTATGATTAATTAAATATATCGTTTTTAGTTTACCTTTATTTACTATTATCATTGATTGGATAAATTTAAAGGAAAAAAGAAAGATCGAAGTTAAGACAAATTCATTATTTAATTAATTATATATCTAATAAATTGAAAAATGAATTAATTCAAATTATTGGAAAGATAAAATTGGAAAAGTTTATTTTTATGAAAATGCAGCATTTTTTTTTACTTAATGAAAAATAAATTTAATTCATTTGGTATACAAATGAAATGAAATGGATCATCAATGATGTTTTATTCATTTATTTATTATGAATGAATGAATGAGTTTGAAATGGATGAGTTTGAAATGGATAAGTTTGAAATGGATGAGTTTGAAATGGATGAGTAAAATATGCAGCATTTCTTCTTATTGGATCATTCTTAATTTTCATTTTTGTTTTTATATATATATTTTTTTCATTTTCTCTACTTCTCACTTTTTCATACTTAACAAATTCATTATCTTTCAACGTTCCTTTTCTTTCTTTCCTCGCTAATGAATTTCTTGTTATCATTTTTAAATTTTTTTTATTGATTCCTGTCTTATCAGTTTTATTTGATAATGAAAGTATTAGGAAATAGATTGTAAAATAACTATCCGATTTTTTATTATATTTCTTTTTTTATTCAGTTATCATAGAAAAGATATATTCATCTATTTATATTGATTTGATTAATAATAATTCATTTTATCGTTATAGTACTATCATCTAATCCGCTAAATATATTTGCATAGTAATTGAATTCCATTGACGATGCTAATTTGATAAAATTTTGAAATTCAAATTTGCTATTATATAAATTACCAAATTGATTACAGCTAAAAGTAATAGTATATTGTATCAATTAAAATACATTTTCACACAATATTTTTTTGCCAATAATTTTAGGCTTTTATTTTCGGACAATTGCTAAATACTTTATTTGCTATAATATAAAAATAATTTTTCAAGAAAGAAAGAGAAAAAGGAAAAATCGAAAATATAAGGGATAAAGCAAATGACAGCAAAATAACATTTAATTAAATTAGTTATAGATATTATCAGAAACTGAAATTGATCATTGAATATTTTTGTAGATGTTAATTGAATATTTGAAATTTGGAACTCAACGAATTAGTAATTTGTGCGCAAATCAATAATTTATAAAAGTGTAGCAAAATTAAGACGAATGAAGTAGGAAGGAAGGAAAATAAGCAAACGAATAAGCAATTATTGATTTTAGAAATGAATGATATAAAGAATCCTAAAATTTTTGCACGTACGAATATTACATCATTTCTTTTATTAATTTATTTCATTCTTATTTAATTTAAAAACTATTTTAATTAGCTAAAAAACAGCTTTCATTTGAAATTTTAAACTATTAACTATTGCATTTATTCTTTTATTCAATATCGTCGTCGTTGTTATGAAAAAATGATTGTTTATTTCCAGTAATATGTTTGTAACATTCAAGAAATAAAACGATTAGCAATGAAGTCATTATCACAAACATATAAAATGAAATAGTAAAATAATAATAATAATAATAATAATAATAATAATAATAATAATAATAAGCAATAAACATTATTACTATTTTATTTATCACAACATTACTTTACTGATGATTATTTTCCTTTTTTAATTAAAATAAATACAACAATTAAAAATTTATAAAATTAGAAGTATTTTAATTCTTTAGTTTCTTCTAATGCATAACGGTTTGATTGATGTCATTTATAATATAAGACAAGTGCAATATAAAATTATAAAACTAATTGGGTTGTGATTAACATGCGGTTGAATAGATTTGTTGAAATATTTCAACAAGCTTGTTAAATTTGATTAATTCAGATTGGACGATTAAAATTGTTTTTAATGTAAGAGGATAAAATTGTTTTCAGTCTGGTTAATGGGCCAATTGAAACGGGACTATTTGTTGGTTAACTTTATAAATTGATATTTTGCAAATGATCGATTAAGAATTTAGATGTGATGATGTAATAATCAATCAGGTTGATGATTAATTACACTAATTAATATCAAAATATACTGCATATAATGATCGGATATTCATCATCGGATATTCTATAATATCAATAAATTATTGATATTATAGAGAATTTGTAATGAAAACTATAATGTATCTCATTTATTTCACTGTTAATAGAATATTAAAAGTGTAAGAAATCGACCTGTAATATGTTCGATTACGTTAATAAGCGTTAGTTATAATTAGTGACAATTCTTTCGATTTCATTTCTTTGCGAATGATTTCGAAAAGATTAATTTGTCTACCAATCAATATAAGATATCTCCGTTTAGTCTTTGTCTAAAATTAATTTGCTAATATCTTTTATCAAATTAATTATTGATTATTGCGTTACTCTTAAATTACATGGCAGTATAATGATGATGATTAATATTTTAAAGAGTTTTTTTTATTAAACACGCTCATAGCAAATGATGCGATTATTTGCCAATGTTTAAGAGTAAAAATAAAGTTTTTCAACAATCTGCGAGAAATCATTAATCTTTGCGACTTTTTTTTATCACAGTTAAAGAGAGATTGATTATTGATTCCTTCAAATATTTCAAGAATTAAAAAACAAGAAAGAGAAAAATCTTTTTCTTTCAAAATACTTTGAAATCACAAAACGGATATTATTAATATTCGTTTTAGATAAGGAAGTATTTCTTTCTAAATCTTCATCAATTCATCTCTTTTTGCTTAAGTTTTACATCATCATTATTATCATCATAACCATCATCATCATCATCATCACCATCATCATCATCATCATCATCATCATCATCATCATCATCATCATCATCATCATCATCATCATCATCATCATCATCATCATCATCATCATCATCATCATCATCATCATCATCATCATCATCATCATCATCGTCATTTTCATTTCTTTGTCTATTTTTTGCTTTTAAATTTAAATGATATTATGCATTTTTGTTAAGTATCAAAATGATGGCATTAATTTAATTTTCATATGACGCAATCTATTTTAATGAATGAATACAATTATTACATTTGGATGCAATTCTTAAATAAAATTCATTATTTTAAAATCACGTCATTATCATTTCCTTTTTTTCTTGTTGTCTAATTTTCTTTTCAAAATTTATCACTTTTAAATTTTCTTTCTTTGAAAGGAAGAAGCGTGAAATTTTAAATTATTTAATTTGATTAAATTACTTAACTAAATCTTTCAATATTTATTTATTTTATTAATTTCACAATTTAAGTAATCATTTTTAAATTAACATAATCACTTTTTTGAAAGTAAGAAACGTGCAATTTAAAATTGTTTAATTTAATTAAATTAATTAAATATATCAGTAATTAAATTTTAATTACTTCATTAATTTCACAATTTAAGGTTAAAGAAATTTGATTTTCAAATTTTTCAATTTCTTTTTTTAGATAAAGTACTGAATTCGTAAAAAAAAAGGAAAGAAGTTAGTAAATATTGGAGAAGAGAAATGAAGAATGATTAAATGGAATATCAAAGAAAAAAGTTTTTAAAAAATTATATTTTAAAATTTTCAAAGAAATGTTATCGTTTCTTTTTTTTAAAAAATAAAAGATGTGCAAATATAAGAATTGATTGTTATTACTTGCACGTAATGATCCATTTCTTATCCATTTCAAATTTCATTTCTTCTTTTATTTTCCTGAATTCTAATTTCGGTATTTTAAATTTGATTTCCTGAAAGCTATGATGAATTAGCGTGGAAGTTGTTTTATGTCTTTATGCGTATGTACTTTTTTTTTCTCTTTCTCTCTCTCTCTCTCTCTCTTTCTCATAACATTGATTATATTTATGAATTGTTAGGATAGTAAGATGAGGGGAAGTTAAAAGAAAGAGAAAGAGGAAGAGAAAAAGAGAAAGCGAAAGAAAGGGAGGCAAACTTTTTCAGATATTTTTTATAATTGCTTATTTGTCTTACATATCTATATATATATATATATAAAGTTATAAGTGTCTGAAAGAAATGTTTTACCTATAACAGTTACCATTTTTAGGCTTGGCTATTTCAGGCTACTTGAATTGATACTGATAATATTCTTGCTAATTTTAGACTTATAATATTCTTAATGATTTTAGTTTGATAATATTTTTGGTGATTTTAATTTGATAATATTTTTAATGATTTTACTCTGATAATATGATTATTTTAATGATTTTAGTTTGATAATATTCCTGGTGATATTAATGTGATAATATTATTAATCAATTTGATAATATTCTTAATAATTTTAGTTTGATAATATTCCTGGTGATATTAATGTGATAATATTATTAATCAATTTGATAATATTCTTAATAATTTTAGTTTGATAATATTCCTGGTGATATTAGTTTCATAATATTCTTAACAATTTTAGTTTGATAATATTTTTGATGATTTTAGTTTGGCAATATTCTTGATGGTTTTTAGTGAGCGAAAAGATGGCCATAAAAGAAAAAGCCTAAGAAGGAAGAAGAGAATAGGAGGAAAAGGTTTTATTGCATTCATTCATGCAAAATAAGAAGTAAGCCTTAAAAAGGCATCAGGAAAAATCGATGGTTTATGTGAAAGGACCACTATCATCAGTAAGCAGTTGTAAGTAACGACGAGATATATACCATTGAAAATATATAGATGAGATGGTGGTTCTATTTTTTTTTCTTCCTTTCTTTTGAATATATTTTTTGAGAGAGAGAGAGAGAGAGAGGGAGAGGGAGAGAGGGAGAAGGAGAAGGAGAAGGAAAAATTGTCACAACATATAAGTCAACACTATAAGCTTAGGCTTAGCTTCGGTAAATCGCACTTCTAGGCTTTTTGCTTTTGCTATGCCTTCGAAAATTTTCTTTTTGTTTTTTGAATCATCTCAATTTATAGCAAGATATTTTGATTGTTCTTTTCTTCTATTTCTTTTTTTACCTTTGTAATTGATATATCTATTATCACTAATCATCAACATTCCTCATTCTTATCATTTTCAATATATCACCTATCACCTATTTTAATCTTCATCAATTTTGACTATTATTATTTTATAATTATTGTTAGTTTATTACATATTATCATTTATTATCTTTATTTATCACTATCATAACATTATCTCATTATCATTATTATACCTTCAATTAGAATATTCCAAAAAATTCCATTAATATAATGTTAGTTTGTTTGCATTTAAACATATAAAGGTTTTATGTTTCAGCAAAAGCACATTGCTTCTTGACCAATGACCACAGCTTGCATACGAAGAAGCTTATTAAGCTTATCAATAAATAAGCTAATATCTTATACAATCTATTATCAGCTTTCGTCTTATATGACCCTTCTAATAGTCCTGAAAATATGATTCCCCTTTCACCCAATTGCTACATATATATATATTTTATTACAGTTTACTCTCATCTCATTGATTTCAATCTTTTAAATATCAATTATTTAAGTATTAGTTTTATTTCTATAAAAAAATTGATGACACATTTGAGAATTCCCAAGCAATATTATCAGTTTTTTCTTTTGTAATGGATATATGTTTGAAAAGTCAAAAACCTTTTGTTCACATTTAATAGGAAATAACCCTAAAAATTTTCACAATTACCAGCCTGAATCACATTGTAATCATATCAGGATATAGTTATAGTAATATCTAAGTGATTTTTGAAAGTATGCTGAACTATTATATTTCAAAAAATGGCACATTGTTAATGTATTAGTTAAGTATTACTTTACTGATTAGTGTGGTACTTCGTTATTTTAATTTTCGTATATTTTGTCTTAAACTCTTCCATTATTATGCTTTTTGGATTCCAGTGTCTTTCCCTCAATTTCTAATATTATAATCCTTACATTCTCTGATTGATATTATCTTAATAAAATGAAGAAAATTAAATTAGGTTACATGAAATTGCTTAAATCCAATTATTTCAATCCATGATCGGTACTTTATTTGACTTTATTCATGACAACTATGACCGTTCATCTTTAAGTGACTATCTTGTATGATTATAATTATGACGTACGGTATACGTTACTTCCAGTATTATGATTTATACGTTGGAAATAGCACTAATCATCATACACCATAATCGGCAATTGACACATCGTCTGTAGAGTACTTTGATCTGAGATTTAATTTTTCATTGTGGGATAGCCTAACCAGTTGAGAAAAATCGGCCGCAGCAAGTGTAGCACTGATGAGTCATTTTGTGGTTAGGTTCCGATATGTTCATTCGTGATTGTTGTTTGTGTTGTTACTAATTGGTCCAATTCGAAGAGGTGGGTTGTCGGTATGATCGTCATAAGTCAAGATTTCTTAGCGTCACGAGGATGTGCGACTTGTTATGTCACTTGTTACAGACAAAGTATTGATATGAACAACGTAAGTGAATGTCCTAAAATATGATTTGAGACGGTGTTTGTTTTCACATAAGATATTTCGGTTTTGGATAATGCAAATAGTTTGAAGATTCCTACGTAGCGAGATACTATTTGGTAACAGACACATTTTATAACAGGCACGTATGATTAATATGTATATTCCCATTTAAGTATTTTTTTATTTTTGTTTAACCATTTTACTCTTTTCCATACGCAATGGTTCCATTTCTGCTGTGTTTTTTGCGTATTTGCGCATAAAGAAATTCCGCACAATTTGTGTAATGTTCAGTAGGTTAGCCTATTTGGAGAAATGGAAACGGGTGGACAGGAAAGTGGTTTGCCCGGCGCAAGTCAAGGATCTAGGCCATCAAATAAACGCTTGCAGCAAACTCAAGCGCAAGTGGATGAAGTTGTTGGAATTATGAAAGTAAGTTTATTTTTTGGCTTGCGAAGAGGAATGAAAGAATCCGTTGTATATATTATTTTAATGCTAGATAAATGATTTTTCTGTTAAGGCAATGCAGGAAAAATTATAAACATTGAAGAGTTGGCATGTTTGGTTTTTATTCGCAGTAAAAGCAACATTTCCGATTAATTTTATGTATTCCATTTAACATACCATTAAAGTGCCCATTTCCTTTGTTTATTCTTCATTCAAGTTTTTGCAACTAGATTAATATATTTGACTCATGAAAGATACACGGAATATGATACCGGGAAATTTCATGTGGAATGGGAAATTTGAATTATATACAGTTCCATCAGAGAAGCATTATAGGTAAATGTGGAAAAAGTATTGGAACGTGATCAAAAGTTGTCACAGTTAGACGATCGTGCAGATGCTCTTCAAGTTTGTCTTTTGATATTTGTATCATCATTAGAGATTAAAAGAGGGGAAGTGAAATAGCTACACCTTTTTCTGCTTATCACTCTAATCACCCATTGACATAGTTAATATTGCATGCTTTTGATATATATTACTTTTTTTCTTTGTCGAGATTTTCTCTTTATCTTCTAAAATATGCCTAGCTGGGTCACATTAGATCGATTGAATGGAATAATAGGGTTTTTATTTCACAGGGCTTGTTTGGAAATTTCATCATTATAGTGCGGAATGAGGCAGTAGGATAGTAGTACTCTGAGCAATAAGAAGACTACTCAATGTATTGTATTGTTATGTTTTTGCTTGTCACTTCTGTAGAGTTGTCATCGTTTATTACAGGAAGGTGCATCACAGTTTGAAAAATCAGCTGCAACCTTGAAGCGTAAGTATTGGTGGAAGAATATCAAAATGATCATTATTATGTGCGCTATTATGGTCGTACTCATCATTATCATCATTGTTTGGGCAGGAAATAAATAGGATGAAGAGCTTAAAAACTCATTCCTGAGGATCTGTGCGCGCACATGCTGATGCTGTGCTGTTGTTCCCAGACGTATTTTTTCTTTATGTTTTCGCTTCTCATTTTTTCTTCTGAAAATTTTAGTTTTCCGAAAAATGGATTTTTAATTCATTGTTGCATTGATTATGGATAATAGTTATTCATTTCTCAGTGTAGAAATTTTCAAATTTTCCTCGAAATAATTGTAATTTTATTTTCATTCATATTCGAAAATGGACTCAAAAATGATGAGGAGATCAAAAAAAAAAATCCATTTCTTCTCAATTTTTTGTGCGATAATTCTAGGAAAATATCCTATATCCTTACTTATTCAATGGATTAGATGGTTTTGAAACGTTGAGGATTATGGGAATTGCGTTAGCAGTAAGTCTTAAGTTATAGTAAAATCGTTTCTTGTTTAGTAGGATGGGAAATGCCAGTTCGTTTTCTGGTGCTTGAATTTCGAAATCGGTAAATGTACGTAAGTCAAAGTAGGAATGAAAGAAAAAAAATTTTTAGTCCTGTTGCAATTAGAATCTGTCACTCTCCAGTTGTCTTCTCCATACGATTCACACCATGTACACACACACGCACCTTCTTGATTACATCCCTGTTTTTTAGCTACATATAAGTTATATTTCTTTTTTTTTGATTCGGTATGGTCCGGTCATCTTCTCCTTTTTATCAAGATCAGCATCGTTTTGGTTCACAGTAGTAAAAAAAATGGGCACCATTTAAGAAATTGGTGATGAAAAAATACTTTTGATTAATTATATTAGTGTTAGATTGAAATGTTGAAAAATTAGCCGGAATTTTTGCCTGGCGATGCAGTAGTTATCCTCTATGTATGACAGCCTTTGCACGATGTATAAATCATTTTCTTTTTTGTATTCTACTACCCATGATAAATTCATGGAAATTTCACTGGATTGCAACCATGTTGTGATTTTCATTCTTTCTTTTAATTTATGTATATTCCATTTTATATATTCTTTTAACTGATTATAACAGTCATTATTACAATAATTATCTCTTTCGTTTCTTGCGAATAAAATATGATTCTCGAATTATAATGTTTTCCACGGTAACAGTTTCTGAGCAATGTAATTTTATATTAAATGAATTTCCGGACGTACAATGAAGATAATTTACAAATCATAACTGTAGCCGTATTTATTTTTCGACGTACTTATTTGAAACGGAATTTATTGTTGAACGATAGCATCAAACCAGAAGTGCTGAAAATCTTCAAAAGATTTGATTTTCTTTACTATGATGTCATGTGGTGGGAGAGACTCACGTTTTCACTGTTCATGACGGTGGAGTTTGCGAGCCAGTGATTTTATGGGTTTCAACCAGTCTAAATTTTTGCTGCTAAATGATGAATGGTGAATGTATGGATCACTTGAGTTTCGTGGGATTAGCAAGAAATAGTGGTGTTTACTATCAAATTCCTTTCCATCATTCATACTAATTGAGCCATTTGTTTTAAGTTGGCATACTCAGGTACTGCAAAGCAGTTACATATCTGTGGAATTTATTTCAATTTTCTTCCATATTCCAGGTTGTGATACTATGCAAGAAAGCGTGTCTTGAGTTTAGCAAAAAACTTGAAGCAATTTCTATAACCGGAATTTATTTATGTTGCTTCTTGTTTGTTTTTAATATTGTTCTGCATAAGAAGGCAATTGTGTTGTGTATAAGTCAAAAGTAAAGCTTACTTTAAAAGAAATGAACCCTTGATTACAATGGTACGCTATCAAAATTTAAAATCAAATTAGAACTCATTTCTTCCTCCTCCGATTTCACTACATTAGCATATCACTGCGATAGTGAAGTGAATTTCGGCTTGCTATGAATTAATTTCAGATTCATTTTAAATTTCTAGGCATCAACGGAGTTACCATGCCAATAGACAAAACACCGTTGTTTCGCGCTCGAGTAAAAATGCTACGAACGCAGGAAGCAGCGCAATTAAAGCGAAGTGAAATGCAAAAGCAACAACAACAAACCGAAAATTCTCTTGACAGCTTCGAGCAAATAATTCATCCAGGTTTCAGATTTGTAAACTTTTTAACAATACTTGATATGAAGTGCTGCATTGCTATTTCATTTCTTGTAAGTTTCTTATTGTTTTCTAAATTATGCTAATAGTTGTATTCATTGAAAATCGTTAAAAGGCCAGTTTGATATTTTTTTTGTAGATTCTACAAGATAAGCTTACTATGTTTTTTCAGAAAAACCGAACCCTTCAAATCTCAATTTTTTGTCATGTACAGTTGAAGCTCAAAGAATTCGTCGAAAATTAATCACCCTTCGAAATATGGTTGTCAGTGAAAGGAAGAATTATATTTCCGATATTGGTCATTCCAGACGACTAATAGCATCATATACAGATAGTAAGTTTCATTTAGTTTTGACGGGTATAACCGTGATATTTGGTAATAAAATTATTTTTAATACGGTGAAAATTTTTATTCATATTTGACTAAATTTTTTTCATCGACCTAATTGTGAATGTAATTATCTTTAACTGAAAATAATTTATATGTTCAGCAAATGAATCAAATAATTTTTTCGTAGGCATTTTGTATTCTTGTCAGAAAACTCAAGCATAGGTCGTCGGTATAATATTAAAAGAATGATTTCGGTAATACTGCCTCCATCTTCATCTTCAAATTAACCACATAATTTGTAGGTATGAGTGATTTTGAACGAGACGAATTAGATGCAAAAATTGAAGAAATGATACGGAATTGCATAAAATCGATACAAGCCTTGCAACATAAAATCAACAGTAGCAATTTACGAGCCCCTGATGAAGGTCCGCATTTGTTCGAGGTGTATATTTTTGAATATTTTTGGATTACGCTTTAAATGAAGCGTAGTCATCTGATCATGATTACTTCATGAAAATCCAGCATCTATGAAGTTTCACAACTTTGATACACAATTTTAATTTTAATTTTTCACAATTTTTTCGGCGTATACCAAAGATTTCCAAGTGTAATCTGTTAATTTGAACTTTTATAGAAAGTGTTATAATATCTACTATTATAGAATTAGGGATTTTAGGTTTTGCGAATGCTTGGTAAGCATCTCAATGCAACGACTAAAATTGTTGCTGAAATGCGAGCTTTGCGAACAAAGAAGATAAGCAATATGCGACGAACGTGCAGGTATCGTACATTTTATTGATTGGCTAATGAGGGAGGTTTGTGGTTTGCAGAGATATTTATGCTGGTAATGTTATTACTGTATTTCAGAAAAAACTGCTTATCTTGAGTTGTTAAATATCAAAACATTTGTTGTGGAAGTAGTTCTGACTCGATGTATTTTATCTGGGAGAGTTTTAGTTTGGCACAATCCAATTATTTGATGAAGGTTTTATTGCTTGAGAAGAGGTTTATCCTTCTTGACATTATAATACAATTATCAGAAATATAGTAATTGAGTCGATCACTTGGTTATTCTTCTTTTGTTGTTAATCTGCGAGAACAATTGGGACCATTCATTGAGATATTCAGAAGAATGTTGTTGATGAGACCGATTGATGATACTAATCTTGACTTAGATCGCTCTGCTAATTGTGATTAAGAAACTATGTATTCCTTTCGAGTTTGACGGTGCTTAGCAACTACTTTATATAGGAAAGTAGACAGTTGATCATTTTGTAGGCTAAAGTAATGTAAAGTCAATGATCATTTGTTAGATAAAATCAGTGGTATACAAAGTCATCGGTTCATTTGAAAGATGTTACTGTTGGTAAACCAGAGATCATCTAGTCATTGATAGATGAAGGCGAAGGTAAAAAGGGTTATTATTTACTTAATTGTAAATCGAGAAATTAAAAGCATACCGTATTATTGCATACGGAGATAAACGATTTCTACAGCAAAAATCCAGTAATACAAAAACACTTTAATAAAATAAGTAATTTTAATTATAAGATTATTTCGGGTTTCCAATAACATCATGCATATTTGCTCTTCTGACAAGATAATTGATGATTTGGATGCTTTTGCTTATATTTTTTAATATCCAGTGCAAAATAATATCTTCATGTTTGAAATATTTGGGAATATATCCTACAGTGCCTTGATATTCCCTGATAGTTTCAAGATTTACATCGCGCTGAGATGCTCAAACGAGAGCTTGTAAGAACTGTGGCTTATATTGGATTTTGAAATTTCTAGATTCGTGTATATTATTTTTCTGTGTATTTATGAATTATTCATACCGCTGAGTTATTTGTTTCTAGGCTGGCGACACTGGCACAATTATACAGCATGAAGAGACATAAAACGCTGACGCAACCGTCGGCTAATGAAAATTCGACTGAAACCATATCACTGAAGTCCAATATCTCGTCAATTTCAGACTCAATGCTTAGTGATGCCATCATTTTTGGTAAAGATGGTTTGAGGAAGAGGATTCTTCAGAATACGGGTTTGTTTAATTTTTTTACCGTTTCCTACAGTAAGCGTTCTAAACGAATAATGTAACCCGACACTATGTGGATAGTTAACTTAATCTTAAATTGATTTACTGATAGGAGCATTTTGTAATTCAGTTGTTCATTTTTCACGCCCATCCAGCGTGGTTGTTATTCCAGATATCAAAGAAGATGGAATCAGAAAGTCGGAGCATGATGGATGGTCTGATGTGCAAATATTTGATTTCCAAGAAGTTGAACAAGCAGATGATGTAGATTCACTTAATAACTTAGATGACGATGAACGTACCCAGCTTGTGATTGAAAATGGGCGATTGTATTCTCAGTCACTTCAAGTGGATAATGATATTCAAAAGGTGGAAAAGCAGATGGCGGAGTTATATCAGTTGCAAGAGACATTTGCCGAAAAGGTAAACAGAATAACTACATTTTCCTAATTCCTCCTGTCTTTCTTGTTAGTTGCTAACTTAACTCATTTCTAGGTTTCGGAACAGGAAAAAGATATAAATGTTGTAAATGAAACAACATTGCTGACAGTTGAGAATATTCGAGTTGGAAACGAACAGATTCGTCAAGCAATCCAGAACATGGCATCTAGACGCGTGATTCTTCTATTTTGTATTATTGTTCTTACATTTACATTACTTTTCTTAGACTGGTATAATCCCTAAGAATGTGTATTTATTGTTTTCTGAGCAAGATGCTTCTCATTTAGGATTTTTTGAAGTTTTTCACTTCAAATTTTACTATTTTTTATTAACCCAGCATTGGATCAAGTTGACAGTTTTTTCCCACTGCAAGAAAATTAGCAAAGGAAACGATAAAAAGAAATTGTGCAAGAGGAGGAATTGAAAAAGTTGTTGATTACATGAAAAATTTCGATGAAGAAGGAATTTTGCAAACTTCGTTGCAAAGTTTCTGAAATTAGAACTCCATATTGAACAGGTACAAATTGTTGTGTTGAAGCTCAAAGAAAAATAAGATGTATCATTTCCATTCTCATCACTTCTGATGAAAGCGATCGAATCAGATCAAATTTTCACCTCCTAATAAGTCTTAGCTGATAATTATGGGAAAATTAATTATCATAAATTAGAGAATGAAAATTTCATCAAAAATTTTTTTCAACCAATAGCTTTTAAAATTTAATAAAAAATAATGTTTTAAAAAATGCTTGGGAATTAATTTGAATTAAACCAATTCATGCATTAAATTTATGTATATATTTTTTGAAATTTTATTAATTTAATATCTATTTTCCGATTTCTGATTGATATTATTTTATTAAAATAATAATCTTTCTCATTTCTTCCTAAATGAAAAGATTGTAAAAAATAATTTACCGGTTTTTTTCCGGATTGATAAACTTATTCAGGAGGTAAATATCATTGGATATTTTCAGAATTCAATGTAAATTATCAATTTTCTATGTTTATTAAATGAAAATGTTCATTGCATGTATGGGGAGAAAGGTGACCCGAATTTCCCATATTCATTGTATTTTGTGTATTTCTGAATAAGCAACAGTATATTTATTCGCTCTTCCTAAATGAAAATTAAAAATTAGAAGGAATTAATTTTACGATTTTTCTTTTCCGGACTGATACATCCATTATGACTGAATTTGTGAACGTTAAAAAAGAATCAAATTTTGGGATGTTGACTTTTAGAATATTTTATCAATTTATTGAAATGATACTGAAATCCAGTAGGATTAATGGCAGAAGTTGTAATTGATGGAAAACTGTCAAAAATTGTTGAAACTTATCTCACACGAAGTTATCAAAGAACTTCTCTAATTAATAGGTTATGGCTAAAGTTCTCTCTTTATACATTATCTCCGATAGAAGTAAATGAGTGGTTTTGAAAAATTAGTCAAAAAAATTAATAGTTATCGGAATCGAAAAATGTAACTGTTTAAGTTAATAGTCCACTTAGATCAGTTACAATTTAAAGTTTTTTTAATTATTCTTCGTTAAAGGTCATCCTTAATTGATAATTTAATTTTATAAGTATAAATTGATAAGCATGTGTTAGTGAAAGCTACATTTGATAACATTTAAAGACAAATGAAAAATTATCAATTAAGGATAAAAGAATGTCAATGAAGTTATAAGCACATTCTCTGAATAATGATTGTTTCACAATTTCTCACAGCTGAAATAACCTTGTGACCTTTTATGAAACCCTGAGCAATCAGTAAAGTGCTACAAAGACGCTATAAATATACTGCAAGATGCGCGAATGGACAAGCGCTTACTCGATAAAGTATGTCATGCATTAAGTGCTGCCGTGGATTAATAAGACGTACCATGAATTGATAAGAATGAACGTATCATGATAAGAATGACGTATTATGAATTGTTAAAAGTGGCTATCATATTATGTGCGAATAAATCGTATTCTGCTCTAAACAATTTTCCCTCTATGATAAGACAAAGATTATGTTACACCTCTGGATGTCATCTACATACTTTCCTGTCTAATAATTAATCGGTCAATGTTAAACAACAATCTTACCTCATGAGCATAATCACAATGAAATGTTGACAAAAGGTTCATTAATTCTGTCTGATATATTATTCTCTTCATTTACATCACTTTCGAGGATTGAACTCTTTAAATTATAATGAACAGTGAAGTCAAACTTATCATAAGCTTATCATCATTGTCTTCTTCCATTTCAAAGATACCAAACCTTTTTTAATAATAAAATTTCATTGATAAAATTTTATTCTTTCAGTTTTTACTTATCCTTTGATATAAATTGATAAGAAAATCAGCAAAAGATTTGCGCTTTTTTTTGAGATTAATTAATGAAGAAAAATAGAAATGAATGCGAAGATGAAACTGAAATGGATTGCGGGATTTAAAAAACTAGAAAATCCTGGAATCTATTTAAATTGTTTTATCATGCTTAAGACAAGAGCAATTTAAATCATAAATAAAAGTGAACAGTAATAAAATTTAAATTTTTAAAGCACTAAATCGATGCCTTAAATATTTTCTGAATTTTTCATTGCTTTTTTTTCCCACATTTCCAACTTATTTCTAACATGTAAATACTTTTACGTATTGTTTTCGCATACATTTAAAGGTATTACTCGATCTGAAATTGTTTATCATTCAGTGCTAAGATTAATCTTATCATTCAGTATGTTCTAAGATAAGGAATTTGAATAAACTTCGTGCTTTACACTTCTTATTTGGCAACTGGAAATTAAATACGGAGATGATTCAGTTTGGTAAAAATTTAGGAAAGTTAATTTAATTCCAATTTCTAATTCAAATAATAAAACGTTGCACACCTCACGTTTGCTGATTTATGATTGATGAAATCAAATCAATTCATTTTCGAATTCAAATTTAAAGCGCGCCAAAGGAATAGTGCTGCAACATAAAGAGTGTAACATGGATGTTGTGTGGTATTTTAAATTTTTATTTGAAATTTGGCTGGGCGCTTCTTGCACCTATGAATTGTTTTTTTCGTTGCTTTGGGTTTTGTTTGAAAGTTTGGTTACATTCGTGTTTACATTAAAGCTTTACGTTCACCGCGGGTTTTCTCTCAGTGGGTAAGAGCGACTTACCGCCATTGTAGGCGTTATACGGTAAAAGCATAGTGATTATCGATTGAAATTGCTTCCTCCATGCACAGTTTTAAATCGATAACCACCTCATAACTTGTACAATCGCTTGGGAAGTTAATTTTAGGAGCTCAAAGTATTATATTTATTAATGGAAAGGGCATGAAGTATTTCATGTCTGTCTCTTTTGCGTAGAGAAACTTGATCATATTCCTGAACCTAGCATTTTCGTTGGATCTGCAATCGCATTTTACGTAGCGGAATTTTCGTTATATCTTATAAAAACTAAGGTGAAAATATATTGTCAATTACCCTTTCTTTTACGCTACCAAAACTAATTAATTAATGTGGAATGAAAATATCCAAATTTTACTTACAGTTATGCCACTTGAAGAGAAACTAACAGAGCATGAAATTACTCAACATCAACAGGCCAACATAAATAATTCGGATGATGACCAGCGAACGCCGATGCATCGGAGAGATGAGGATACAATGAAAGTGGAAAAAGAAAACGAAATGAAGCGAACACCTGATGGCCCAATCTTATGCCCAAGAATTATGCAGATACTTAATTCAGTCCATAAGAAACCGGTACTCCATTTCTTAGCTATCCAAAAATATTCAATTTCCATTAATCGACATGTAATTTGAGGAAATATTTGAAGTAATACTGACAGGAATTCTACAAATTACTAACTAAATTTCTATAAGGTGAAATAACTATGAAATAACTCAAAAAGCACTTTCCAATTGTTGTGTATAACTTACTCTACAATGAAGTAAAATAAGTGAAGTTGTGACTTTTCTGAAACTTCTGTGTTCAGCTAATTAGTAAACAATAGGCAGAATCTGAGTTATATAATGCTTATCGTTTTTCTACAGTTTTCCGTAATTGGGTCTTAATTTTTCTTTATTTTTTAAGGCGACTCCTGATTACACCAGAATATCGCATCATCGTACATGCCAGCAAAGTACTTGTCGTTTTCTTCGCTTCACGAATAAGGAGCCTCCAAAGGGCCCTTTTTTCATAAGTTTCAAGAAGAAGCCAGGTTATATTTTTTTATAATCAGCTGCAATAAGCATTGATCTAATGCAGTCGATTTGTTGTGAAATTTAATCCATAATATGTGCGCAAAGTTAATGATTGCTAAATGACTGAAAACATAAAGAGGTAGGAAGACATTAACATCACAAATGAAATGGGGAATAATTTCTATCCTCCACATTGAACTTTTAAATTTATATTCTCTTGTTATTTAGTTCATCATAGTTGTGCAGTATAGGGGAAGTTTATATTGCAGGCAATCTAAATATAAACCTCCATACACGTTGCTTTATCTTCAGATCTCTTCAGATCAAGAAATAACCATCATTTTGTAACTGAAATATTTCATTTTAGCAGTGATCGAGACAAATTATTACGATGAAAGATGTCGCATGAGCTTCTTTGACCAGGCATTCTCGAATCCACGATGTATCGGAAAAGGGTCATTTGGTGAGGTAAAAAAGAAGTTTTTCTATTATGATAAATTTTCTTCCTAGGAAACGGGAAAGAAAGTCGATTTTTTTGGCCATCTTATTCAAAGGGAGGAAAGTAACGTGTGAGTTCCTAGGTAGAAAATTTATGAATTTAAAAAATTTATTTTTGAAGGAGGCTCAAAATGAGTAATAGGAGGATAAAAATAATACAACTTGAAATAGTGATTTAGATTGTGCATTTAATTCCTTCTAAATCGTTTTTGTAATCCTCAAAATTTTTTTACAGGTTTTCAAAGCATTCAGCAAGGATGATAAGCGTTGTTATGCTGTTAAAATTACCGTGGAGCCATTTCACAGCCCAACAGATCGTGAGGATAAATTGAGAGAAGTTCAGAAACATGAATTACTTCCAAAACATCCAAATCTTATTTCGTATGTGCGAGCATGGGAAGAATATGGTTTTTTATATATACAAACGGAGCTTTGTCAATGCAGGTTCGGTTTTTTCGGCTTGAAGTTGATGTAAGCAACGAATAGTAAGAAATTGTAGGATTTATATATAATGTATGAACTTATTTTCAGCCTCCTGGATTATAAGATGAAGGTGGGGATTATTCCCGAGAGAGACTTATGGCTTTTTTTCGGCGATATCGCGTTGGTATGGTACTTCAGCTACAAATATATAATCTAAAATGTTTATTTGTCGTTTTTGACTTAATAATTTTTTTTGCTTTAATATTGTTTTTCTCACCTCGCATACGGAAAATACATCTGTACTGAAGGTCCTAACATTTTGGAGTTTTTTATCGGTGCCGTGTCTTCAAGTTATTTTTATAATTATCTAAAATTTATCATTTTCTTAGGCAGTACGCTACTTGCATAATCATGATCTTCTGCATCTGGATATTAAACCGCAGAATATTATGGTTTCTTTTGATGGGACTTGTAAACTCGGTGATTTCTCATTAATTATTGATATACAGAAGGTATGTTTTCGATTTTTCTTGTTTGAAATCTGATCCATTGTCACAAGTCCTTAGCCATCCTAATGACTTGCTTTCATTTAAGGATTCGAAAGAGGAAGAAGGCGATGGAAAATATCTGGCACCTGAAGTCTTGCAGAATGGAGCTCATAAACCAAGTGACATATTTTCGCTTGGAATGACAATGATTGATATTTGTACTGATCTTGAATTGCCCTCGACGGGAGATCTTTGGCAGGGATTTCGGTGCAAAAGGATTTGTCATGAATTTATCAAAGGCACGATTTATTTTTCTCCTGTCTTTTTTTAGATAGTTTAATTATTATTATTATTTGACTTCGAAACACTCTATGCTGTTGTAGACGTTCCACGCGCTCTACTGGATGTCATCCTGCGTCTTCTAGAAACAGATCCTAGCAAAAGACCTACTGCTGAGGAAATTTGCCGTATTCCATTATTATCGAAATGCATCTATGAACGCCAGGTATTAAGTTATTGCCTTATCATTTGTAAATGTATTTTGTTTGTTTTGCTTGGTTTATTTATAGATTGTTACTGAAGTAAAATGATGGTCTTACTATTAAATTAAATAATTTTTCAGTACAAGTATCTTGAACGTAATATGTGGTGGATAGTGTTGACAATTGGTTATTCCTCTCTTTTTGCATCTTCGTTTATTGTACAACCGACACGTAGCACAATGATGCATGCAGTAACTTATCTAAAAAGAATGCACTTATTTCGTCGTCGATGTTGTGCATTTCGTCATATCTTCAGAGCTGTAAGAAATAAATAATATATGATTAATTTTGCGAAATTATGTATAGTTGCCATATTAAAACCATACAATTGTGTCAAAAGTTAAATTACACTGAGATAATTCTTTCTTAACAGAGCTTGAATGGATGATGTTTTCAGACATCTGATGAGTCTCCGATGTTTAAAAATGGAATTATTCCTCGGGTCACTGACTCTACACGGTTGGAACTAAGATTTGAGGAAGATGATGAGGGTGATTTCTTAGCTTTTTCTAAAGTATATCAAACTAATGAGTATGGTCACTTTAACGTCACTAAATCAATTCTTTTATCTTCGTCAAAAAATTTGCCGCATTCATATATTCAAAAATCAGCAGACGTTCTGGGTTCAATTTCTTTTTATCACTTATAATTTGAGATTACAAATACGATGACGCTGGAACTGAGAGCGGTGATAAAATGGAGATGAGTCAAAGTGAAAATGAGCTGATTAATGTAATGGAAACAACTGTAAACGAAGAGCCACATTTCGATCAAATTGAAGAAAATTCAAGAATGGATGTTGATGCCTCTTGTCCAAATAGTATGAAAAATGTTCATGAATTTAAGCGAAGTAATTTTTCAATTTTCATATGAGCTGCCTATTTATATTGCATTTTTCTTTTTCTTTTTCATTTTTTTATCTTTTTCATCTATAAGCGAAGCGAATTTTTTATGTCCAGTTCAACATCACCAGTTCTCGCTTGATAAATAATCTCTATAATGTTCATGGATTTGAGCAAAGTAATTTTTCAATATTTTTTGGACATTTATGTGATGACATTTTCTTTAAAAATTATTTTTCACACTAAATTTTTTTTTCAGCAAACAATTCTGCAGATGATCTTGCTGAGGATACAAATGGTTTAACTAATTTATTTCGTAATGAAGTCACTTTCTGTCGATTTGGAACAGGAGATAGTCTTTTTGAAAGGTGAGTGTCAGGTGTTTCAAATTTGCTTTATCTTATTTACACTTTCGTATGAGCTACTTATTTATGTTTTATTAGTTAGTTACCTTTTTCATCTATAAATGAATTAAGCGGGTTTTTATATCTAGTTCATCATCACCAAGTCTCGCTTGGTAAATAATCACTGTAGTGCTAGGTTATACTAATATTACGCAAGTTTTGCCCTATGCTTTTTGTATTCTCAGTCAGCAATAAGAAACTCGGCGGCAGTTATTGCTGCTAAAAAATCGGAATTCGCAAAGGTTTCAGATCTGATGAAAGATTTTTTCAGAAATGACTGCGACACTTTACACAAAGATTATACTCCAAGCGAAAAGATCTCTAACAGGGTGACTACTTCATTTCGTTCCTTAATTCATTTTCTCCGCTTTCGTGTAATTATAATGTTTCTTGATATTTTTTATGCTGCGCTTCTCGAGTATTTAAATGAGATTGCTCTTTCTTAATTTAAAGTTCAACAACTGTTTTTCACTTTACAGGCGAACGAATTTGAACGACAATTTTCCAAATTAAGGCATATTATCGCTGCTTGTGATGAAGATTATGAACTGCCTAGTATATCAGGAAGTATTTCTGGTAAGAGATGATTTCTTATCATACATAGATAGTTTTCTTTCAATACCTGGAAGCATTGGAAATTTGAAGTTATTTTGTGATTTCCTTGAATCATTGTGAGTTATCTTAATAAATTTTATGAACCAAATATAAAAATATGAAATTCAAAAATATGTCATGTGCATAGTATAACTCTGCTTTACAATATAGCAAGGACCAATGTCATTCTCTAAGATTATCTCCTCCCTGCTAGATTGCTATTTTAAACTCTCTATTTTAAACTCTCAATAATTTGAATCACAAACAAGTTCTCTCTTTTCAGACAGACCAAAATCTCCAGAGCCGGCATCATCAGACGAAGAATCTCCTTTGCGTGATGGTTACAAAACACCACCAAGTAATGCAACATCTTCATCCTTAGTATGTAAAACACCAGCACGAGGACGATTTGATGATTTGGCTGAGCAAAGATTACGTCATTACTTCTGGTGGCAGGAGTCGCTTAGATCACCTACTAGGATAACTCATCAGGAAGCAGTAGATGCTACAGGTGAGGTCTTTTATTGCTTTTGATTCAGTAATGCATTTTACGCTTCCTTGATGTAATTCTTGTTTAGCAGTGAAATTTGGTTTTTTCATCAGTTAGCTCTTCATCAGGTTTTTTCCTTTTTTCAATTTTGTATCAGTTAGCTTTTGTATAGCCTACCTATAGTTGGTTAAATTTAATATATTTACCACTTAACGTAGTTTACTTAGCTGACTTTTAGAGTTCTACATTTTAGCCTCAAGAAATGATACATCGCCAGAAGTACCATATGAAAAGCAGCTGTCAGGATCAGAAGAGGGATTAGCCCAATCTTCTGGTGATTCTGCTCGTCGAAGAGCCTATTTTCATATGCGTGAACCATCACCACCAGCAAAACGAGTTCAGACTGGTAATGAAGAGGGTAATGGTGATAATGAGGATCAGATAGATGTTCCAGAGGTCAAGAAATCAGATACAGATGAAAAATGATTTATTTATGCGGGAAACAAGTTAGCAAATACTGAAATCAGACTTAGAAAAGCCCTGTTTTCCTTCTTGGTTAATAAAATTTCCCATTTTCGTTACCTAATTTTTACAAATAGAATTTTACTTTGAATGTTTTCAGCATCTTTATCACATATATAATTAAAGAAGTAAACTGAATATATAGACGCGAAAAATGGCACTGCAAATGAAATGGAGAAGTATAAGACAGAAAGAGATCAGGGCAAGTATGAAATACAAAATTTTTTTTTAATTGTATTTGCGTCTTGATGATTTTATTTACTTACTTGTTACTGGCAGGTGCTAGCAATGGTCTTTTATAGACCAAACTCGAAATTAATTTTATCAATTTGCTTGTTTTATAATGAATTTGTTTCTCTTGATAAAAATTTGTATTGTGAAAACTTTTTTGGGAAAAGAAAATTGTAGCTCTGGTTTGGATCGTTCTTTTTGCAACAAATCATATGTTTGTTCATATTTGGAATTTGCGTTATTCGTATAATTTCACAATAGAAATTTTTATTTAGTAGTATTCTAATTTTTTGTTTTTCTTTTATCTTTCGAATTTTTTGAGATTTCAATTGTTTTATTCGAAATGTATGGTATTACTGCATGCAGGAAACATATGATAAGTGAGGTTTTTTTGATGGATTTGATGCCACTTATATATGTTATCGTTTTAATTTTTCGCTGAATTTGCGTTAGTAAGCAAAATTTAGTGTTATGACTTTAATTTGACCACAGGTAATACTCGAGATTCTCTCACTTCAGTCTCATTTTTCGCAATATGTTGATACATAATTAAGTGAACTTCATTTCTCATCGAAACGGATTTACATTTAGCCTGTTTACGTTTTTTCATCATCAGTACGTACATATTTCTAGACATAATGATTATAACTATTTCTTTGATACCAGCATTTTCTCTCGTCTAGAATTGATTGAAACATTTTGATTGGATAAGAATGTTAATAGTCGTCAATTTAAGTCTCCATGAACTGAATATGGCCTTACTTCAATATGGCACTTTCTAATGTAGCATATTGTGTCATCTCTTATTCTCTTCCCTCTCATTGGGTAAATATTGTCAACATTAATGAAATGAGGTAGAGATTTTGCCAGTTGTCTGGAATATGCTTTCAATTTCTGAAAAATTTCCATTGGTTTAGCAGTATTTTTTCACACTTATTTTATCGCACTTTGTTACATATTTCTGTACATACGAATTATTCTAGTATTATTTTTTTGCTCAGGTATTTTTTAATTTTGTTTCAATTCATCCATTAATTGTAGTATGTGCTTTGGTCCAAACATTTTTCTACCTGAGTATGAGGAGGTTGCTGAGGCGGTATCCTGAAATGAATAGAAATGAAATTTTGATATGTCTAGATTTAGGTACTAGAAAAGAGGTAAAGTGTAACACATTAGAATCATTCTGTGTCACACCATATTCGTAATGTAATGATCACTTTGATTATTATTTTAAATGCATTCAACATATTTTAAATTTTCAAGGGAAAACAACTATGGTCCGATGAATGGTGAACAGAGAGGAGGTTGGTGAACCTCTTAGACTTAACCTTGGCTTAATTTACCTAAGCATATCTCTGGTCATAATAAAGTGCTTGTTTTCAGGTCTTTTCTTGGACCATACTTTTGTTCATTACTTGTTAAGATTCTCAGAAAATGTGGAACATTGAAAGATTTGGTAATTTGTTACTTGTTAACTTTTTCTCCGCAACCTTGTTTAATGTTTGTCTACAAATTTCACTCTGATCTCCATCATTACTCCTTCCACATTATATTGTTCATCTGTACAAAATCTTTTTGACCCATTATTCTCTTACAAACATTATCAGTACCGTTGCAGCGTCTCCATCTACATTACTCGATGCCGTTATCAAAATGTTTCATTTATCTATACTCTTATCAAGTTTCCACCATCCACATATGCACTTACTTGTTAACGTATCAGTTGCGCCTATTATTCCTCATTTAGAGATCTGTATAAAACATGTTATTTGTTGCCGAAAACATCTGAAGAACAAATAAGGAGCGTTGCACTTTTCCGTATATGCGGACAAAAGCTAATATTTTTATGTAATACACTTCGTAATATTTCTATACAGAAATTTCAAAGAAATTTCGGCTGTCATCGCCTTATAACTTATTTGCGATAATTAGCTTATGTCTTAAACAGTCATTCCAATGCGAATAAATGAACGGCTTGCTTTTAATTGGCATGACAACGTTATATTGCATATTGCCTTCACTAATATTTATTGCAGATGAATGTGAAAAAAAAGATGTTACTTCGGTTGAAAGATGTCGCATAATTCCAAAATTTCATTTTTTAATAATCCATAAAATTCAAATAGTCAAAGTGGATATAAATAGCATAGTGAGACATATAAACGTGCAAGTCTTTGCTCGATCGATTTGCCGTTGACAAAAATTGAGTCTGTGTGTTTGTTGATGACAGTCTCAGTTAACAAAGAAAGCCGGGTCTACTTCCTTATGTGCTACTCGGAAGAACTATTAGTCAACTCTCCAGTCGTCATACTTTTTAATGGATCATTTAAAATGTCGAAATTTGGTGTGAAGATTTTCTGAATCTCTCTGATAATCTTCATAGCTTCTAAGAAAACATACAAATTCCAAACTTGTGCATTGCTTTGGTTCGCTTTTTCATGTCGGTATTTGACAATGATTTTGACTTTGCTACAATCGTCAATTATTCCATTGCAAAGCTGTAGTTGAGTTTCTTTCATTTCAGTGGCAACATCTTTTGTTTCTCATGAAGAGCAATTAATTCAATGACCTTGAATATTTGGGAAAAAAATATTTAAATATTTCAACGTCCTAAAACAGATCCTGCAACTTTTCAAGAACAAATCAAGAAATTTCAGCGCAAGCAAGTATGAAATACTGAAAGAGCACGATTTAAACGAATTTTGCACACTTCATGGGTGTAAAGTCAGTTATCGATTGATTTCATCATAATGAGAAACAGGTTGCCATTTTCTACCTTTGTCTTTATTTGGCATTCAGTTAACTCAGTTTTCTCTGCGAACATTACTTTCAATTTCATGGATGCATTTTGAATGCCGTTATGATTTTCATGTTAAATTCATGCTTTTAAATATTACACACTAAATTTATACTTTCAGCTGAAACAATGATTGTCTACTAGCATGGGAATTATTGATCAGACTTTCATGATTGGAACAGATATACATATTTTCAATAAATTCAGCTGTTTTATCCATCATTTTTGTTAGTGAATTTAGTTTCACTTTGCTTGCATCATTTTTAAAAAAGACTAGTAACCTTATCCTTCATTATCTTATAGCATTTTATTCGAGCATAACTCCATAACTAAATCACACCAGTTTGTCATATTCGTCCCTCTTACTACACTGCTGAAACCTTATAGTCTTATCAGGACCTCCCTCACTATTTTTTTAACATGCTATTTCATATACTCAAGTCTGTTAGGCATTAAATATTGATATTTGTAAATATTAGATAAACAAAAGGTCCATTACTTTATTAAAAATCGGAAAAATTCTTTATACTTTATTTTTACTGCTCTTATTGTTATAATTGTTTATACACTTTATCACCAAAAATTCTTTTTGGTAGCATCGTTGTTACTTTTATTGCTGTGTGAAAAAATTATGTGATATTTCAGAATAAGATTTTGGACGTTATGTAATTCAGTTTGCAGAGATCCAAATATTCCCAGGTTCAACTACTCGAATTATGAGATTATAATTCAACCAAATGCATGGACTCATTTTAAAAGATCCCATACCTGTGTGTCTTCTGAAATTTAGTCCATCAACGCGTTTGTTAATAGTAATTTTTGGTGCTGTGCTTATACATCTATCTCTGGGAACATATCATACTTTCGGTAAGTTTTTCGATTCTTCTCATCTTCAATTTAACTTGGTATCAATCTTTATTTCACAACTTGTCATAAGCAGCAGGAACTACATTGGATTTTGAATACTATTTAAACTTTAGGAAATATGTTGCCATATATGGCATCATACATGCATAATAATACAGATCCGACAATCAATCATGAAATGTTGGTTTGGATACCTACTTTTCAGGGTAAGCCCCTTCATGATGGTTAGCAAATTCTATAAGATCCCCAAAGAATTTTTTGTAATTTTATCGAATTTGCTTAGCTGGAGTCTGATAAGCGAAAGGTCCGTATTAAATTGGGATTTATTTTATAGTCTTCTTACAGTCTGATATTTTCCTGTTAATTCTACTGAGAGGAAAATTGATTCAGATAGACATGACCTATCAAATTTTCTTTTTTCAGGTTGTTTTCCTTTCGCGATGATCATTGGCGGTTTCATGTATTCTAAATTGGGCTTGAGGCTTTCCGCATCACTAGGATGTACCATCATGACGTGAATCTTTCATATTTAAGGAACGGTAAAAATAAGTTCAAAAAAAAAATAAAGAGAAGTAGGATTCATTGGGAAAGCATAATGTGAATAAGTTTTCTGGAATTTTTCAAATGTTCATAAAAATTTTGTCATCCAAAAAAATTTCAGTACTGGTGTTTTTCTGTCCTACTGGACGATCAGAAGATCATTTGCATCATTTCTAATAACGTATGGGATAATGTTTGGATTTGGACAAGGAATAGCTTATGTTCTTACCATTTCGTGTGTCATCAATGCAAGTATTATTAAAGATTAAAAATGATGCCATGCGGTTAACCCAAAATTTGAATTGTATCAGTAGATAGCTTTATATGAGATAATAAGAAAGATATTTTCGTACAAATAGGATATTTAAGTTGCCTGAGTATCTGTGCAATATGTATCTATTCATTTCTGTCTTTTTTGGTAGCAGTTCATTTGTATGCCATTATAGCATAATTTGTATGCCATTATTACTTGGTTATTGTAATCTGATTTATTTATTACAAATTCAGGTCATACTTTTGTGCCAAGATTAGCAAGAAAAAAACAATGTTTTTTTTTTTCTGTTCTAGATTGATTAAAGAGAAATCTTCCGTTTGATTCTGTGTACTACCACTGAATATCATTAATAACTTAGCACAGGAATCTGTATAGCTGCTAAAAATGCAACGATAACTAATTTTCATAAAGAATCATCATGATGTTTCCAAGGTTTAATTACAATCTGAAGAAAATATGGTTTTTTTTGCTTTCTATTACTTAAGCTAGAATAGCGACTTTTTCAGTGGGCCCCAAAAGATGTTGGATGTGTGAGTGGTATTGTAGCAGCTGGTTTCGGTATCAGTCCATCTATATTCGCTCCACTTCAGACCATTTACCTCAATCCTTTAAATCATAAACCGACTGTATTTGCGTAAGTTTATCAAGGAAACTAATTTTTGATTCTTTCGAGAAAATTACCGGAATAGAGCGAAAATTTTTTCGGAATTTGTTTACCTTCGCTTATTTTTCGGTCTCGTTGCTATAACTGGCGCCGAATTAAAATTTTAGTGGGAAAGATTGACACATTTAATCATTTCAGTTATTTCACAGACAGAGATATCACTGATCGAGTACCATCCATATTTTATACTTCTGCAATAGTCTATGGAATTATGCAGGCCATTGGCCTAATAGTTATTTGTGATCCCGTTGATGTGGTTAGTTTGAAACACAAATATTTACTATTTACAAGAGAAGGAAATCTGCACCAAGAATGACTTAGCATTTAATAATTGGACAATTTTTAGGATAAACAATCGGAAACATACCAAATGCAAATTTCAACTTCAATATGGAAGTGGTTTAATGTTTCCGAAAGTAAACATACTTCGTTTTGTACGAAACAATACGCTTATTCGAGATTGCGGACTTGCAGTCAGGAATCCATAAGGGTATGATGAAAGCTTTCAAATTAATAAGTAGATATAAATATTCGTTATATAAATCCCGACAATTTTTTCCAAGCATATGTTTTGATAATTGAATATATAACAAAATTGGATAGAATAAGGGAATCTTGCTTGGTTTAGAACTTTCGGTTTTGAACTTTCGAAATCTAATTTTTTCTAAAGCAGAAATGTCTAGGAATCTTTGGAAGAAGTGTCAAATTCATCCCAGGAACAGATATCTTTGAGTCCATTACAAATGCTGCAAACTTCGACCTTTTATTGGTTATTTTGTGCTCTCTTCTGTTGTTCATTTTATGGAAACATGTTTTACAATCTCTATAAGGTTAATTATATTTTCATTTGCCTTCAATAACTCTACCGAATCATTTGTAGCATTTGAGATTTTAACAAGGCTCATTGATTGTTTTTTATCTGTAAGGAATCCAATACTTCATATCATTTTAAGACTTCAATATTTGTAGAGTACGGTAATATTTCTTATATATCTTTCCTTTTTTTGTCTTCAGTTAATTTAAATTTTTAATTTGAAGGACAAATTATACTTTTAGGCATTCGGGGAAACATTCATTGATGATGATATGTTTATAGCTTATGCATTCAGCATAGCTTCAATATTCAATGCTTTGGCTCGAATAGGATGGGGTGTTTTAGCCGATCGTACCAGTTTTCAGGTTTATTTGTCTCATTGATAATTCAAAAGCTTTTGAATTTAGCTAGCGAATTGTGAAACTTTGCGTTTTTAATAAAAATTTTTTAATTTGATTGATATCAAATACTAATCGGATCTTGTACATTTTGTATTACGAAGATAGAGGCCTTCAATTTAAGAAGGACTTTTTTTCCTTTTTCAAGGTATCATTGTCAACTGCAACTTTTCTGGCAACTGTTTTATTGCTAACAATGCCACTTACTCCATTTGGTGGAAAATGGATCTATTTTATCTGGGTAAGTGAATTAACCTTATATGATAACAGTAATAAATTCAATTATTTCTGAAAGCCTTCGGCATTTTTTGAACAAATGAAGATTGTGCTTTAAAAATCTAGCTTTTGCAATATTCTCATTTTGTTTTATCTGATTTTTAGCTGAAAGGCGAATTCATTTTCAGATGAATCTCATGTTTACATGTCTAGCAGCTACTCATGCTCTTTTTATAACTGCATCTGTTAAATGCTTTGGATCCGATCACAAATCAGCTAATTATGGATGTTTAATTCTCTCTACCGTATGTTTCCTCACTGTTTATTAAATCTTTTAAAGATTTGGAGATTTTTTTGAAAAATTCAACATATATTTCAAAAAATTAATTATTACAGACACTGAGCGCAGTACTCTTAGCAATCGGTTGTGAATATGTTTTAACAGTCGTTGGATATACATTTTCCTTCCTTATTACGGCTGTTTTGGGTTTTATTGGTACAGTTTAATTTCGTCATGAATTATTATTCCATAAGATACCTTTTAAGCGGGGAAAAAGAGTTTTGAGCTGAATTTCAATATGATAGATCAAATTTTATTGAATGCGCAACCATTTTGTTGATGACGCCTAAGTGATGTTTTAACACAACAGTAAACTGTTGGTGAACTTTGAGTGGTACTTTTGGTAATAATAGAATTCCTTAATGATACTGAGTAATGCCCTCTAATACTTTAGCGTTTGCGAAATGATCCATAAATTTGAATTGTTTCTGAATACAAATAATTCAAAGATGTAAAATCATTATCAGACAACGATTTCTTTTAATATTATTAAAGATTGATTAATTTGCTTGAATTTTAGCATTTCTTTTGGCAATTACGATGCAACGCACCACAAGAGGTCACTTCATTACCTGATTTGTTTAAACTGTAATATTGCAAACGTTGATCTCTTGATATTGTATGCTTTATGCCATTATCAGTAAATTTTCCGCATTGCGTGTAGAATTTCATGTTTTATACAAGAATGCGTGGTAAATGTCTAGAGATTGAAGCTCTTAACTAATAAGAAATACTCATTTAAAATATTAGAAGTAGCACTTAAAAGATGTCTCTTATTCGAATGTTTAAAGGACAATCTACATTTTGAGATGGATAAATTTTATGGAAAATTAAACTACGATCCCCGTAATAGAACACGTAAGCGAAACCATCTATAAAAAATTTGTCATTATAAACATGCAAATAACTTTCGAAAGGCACTTTACTTAATTAATTCCTAAAAAAGCTGTGTACATAGAAATAGTTGAATCCGTTAATGTCTTAAAACTGAAATTGCATCTCATTTGTCATCAAAACTATATGACACTGATCAGTATCGTGAAATCAAGAGCCGAGACAATCTGAATAAGAATAATTATCATCCATGGCAAGAGTACATCATATTTGTTGTAGTTTCTTTGGTGCTTCGTTTGAATTTTAACAACTTCTAAAGCGCGAATTATTTTTGGAAAGTAGTAGTGAGAGAGAAAAATAGCAACAAAAAAGTAATCGAAAAAATGAATTAGGTATCATTAATGTGTGTAAATTGTTTATTACATTTCGAAGACAAATATGGTAAAAGAAAAAGAACTTTTTGCATAGGCTATTCTAAACTGATATATATATATATATATATATAGCTCTGTTATTGCATCATTCCATTTCTATTTGAGGTAAGGTTTTTAATTATTTTTAAAAGATGAAAATGTCAACGAGGTGTTGTCATCGTTCTATTCTATTCAATCTTGCACTTACTATCATCTATCCATTCTACTCTATTTAATTGATCCTTTTCAAGGTGAAGACAATTTTCAATTCTTCTCATTATCATATCCATAAAAATTAAGTTTTCGTTTTTCGTTATTTTCTTTAAAAGTTGAATAGTTTTATGAAATTTTAACCTTGCTAATGGTAAAGTGAAAATAATTGTTATTTAAGAATTATAATTTCTAAACTTTTATAATTGAAATACTTTTGTGAATTTTAGCTAATTTGAAAAACAAAAATTCTTAGGCGATACTAATGATAGTGTTGCGAATTACTAATGACACTGTTGCGAAAGGAGATACTAATGATAGTGTTGCGAATTTTTATTTTCTAGAATTTCGTCAACTTAATCAAATAATGTCATTCGCAGAAGAGACATCAAACAAACAACGGATATTTTCATCATCGTCAACATCACTTTCATCGTTAACAGATAATGCGAGCACGGATGATAGCGTATGATAAATTAGAATTCCTCAAAGTAATTACTGATAATGTGAAAATTTCACATCCAATGATAATTTTAGAAATTCCTCTGATTCTAACATCTCTCAATTTTTGATTTTCTGATAAGTATTATTGTTTTTGATTCATCACAAATCTCTTTTGTTCTTTTCAATGATTTCATTAATCTTAATTAGGCAAAATTTAATTTTTTTTCAACATTCCAGGTAAAAATGGTTAGCAAATTTTCGATTAGCAAAGGCATTCCAAATATACCGGATAATTATGATATGAAAATCAATGATGAAATGGATGAGGAAGAAATTGAAGAAGACGAAGAATACAATAATGATGATAAAATGAAAAATAATGATCAATCAATAGGTCAAAGAAAGTCACTATTTATGCCATTGCTATACGAAATGAATTTGAACAAAGTTTGTTTTAAATTTTAAAATCAAACATTTTTTTTCTGGGAGACAATTGATTTAAATTAACTCAAAAAAGGCTTATGAAAAAGAAAAATTCCAACTTATATGAAAGTTAGTTAACGTTTTAAAATAATTCTATCGATTCATTTAAAGTAAAAATCACTACAGGAAAAGGTTTGGATAAGATCTGTATGCGGTAAATTCATCAAACGAATTCGATAATCGATAAGTCTATCATTTAGCATTCATTATACAAAACAAACATTTGCTATTATACATTTTTTGATTATCATTAAAATTTTTACATTTCCTTCTTCATTTTTGTTTACAGAACAAAAATATTCATGGAACTGTAATTGGTCCATCAAATGAAAATTTTAATTTGGTAAAAGCAAGCGAAAAACTTCGGCAAGCTTTAAGTGGCTTTGGTATCATTTACAATTAATTACCTTTTTATATTTAAATTAATTACGATAAAAAAAAATGCAAAATGAAGCCCTTTAAATTTCAATTTTAAAATATTGCTACGATAAATTTGAACTATGATAAGGGGTAGCTTAAATTTTTAATGAAATCAATACAATTTTTGATCATAATTTTACGTCAAAAGAAATAAGTGAAAAAATAAGGCTTAATATTTTAGATACCAATGAGAAGACAATCATTGAAGTTACTGTTGGTCATAATAATTTTCAACGACAACAGATTATGAGTACATATGAATATCTCTATTCCAAGGCATACTTTTACTCTTCCTCAATTAAATGCTTAATAAATTAAATTTTGAATTTGAAAAGTTCCACCTTATCTCATTACTTAATTAATCGCTTAGCATCGTTACATCGTTTATAAGGTAGATTTAAGCACTCTCCAACAGAATTATTTTTGATCGATTTGCGCTAATGATCAAAAAATATTAATGATAGTAGTAAGGATTGTTATCTTTTAAATTTAAAAAATTTATGTTCTTTTTCTGAAATCAAGGATGATTGACTATTGGTGGCATTTATTTAGCCATTCCTTATTGTTAATGAATTAATGAAGATTTATAGAGAATTAATGAAATTAAACTTTTTTTTAGAATAGCTAAATAAAATGATAATATCGGCAATTCCTCAAATCAAATTATAATTTTAAGAAACTTTTAGATATTAATGGATGATGTAAGAGATGAACTTGGTGGATTCTTCTTGGATACTATTTCATCATTGTTTATTCCTACTCATTTCTACCTGGCCAATTTACTTCATCAATCACTCAATGTATGAAAGAAATAATCAGTCATAATTTTCTTAAATTTTACACTTAAAATTATATCTTGAAATTTTCATTCTTTGAAATGAAAAGGTAGCAAAATAACAAAATGATATAATTTTTAAATTGCAGAATTATAAATTAAATTGTGCTATTGCAGTGGAAATTGCTTGTACACGAACAACAATGGTATGTATGTGTTTGAAACTTATCAACAAATAATTTATATCATCGAAGATTTAAGAATATAGAGAAATATGCATAATATTTGGATGAGATACTCATTAAGAAACTTCAAATGTATCTTATGAGATCTTCAAGATATAGCACCTACGTCTTTTAGGCTGATCGTGTATTTTATTCTATATTGTATTTTATCAAATTACTTTTATCAATTTATCAATTGTATTTCATCATTGCAGATTGTTGCGATGTCAAATTGATTTTTGTATAATTCAAAAGTTATAATGATAGAATTTAAAATAAAAATTAAGCAAGATTTACTTCTTTCCGAAATCCATTGCTAATATTGTTCTCATTTTTTAAACTAATTTATAATTTGTTTTTTGGTTTCTGTTCTTTTAATTTACAGCAAATGAAAGCGATCAGGAATGCATATCGGATAGCATTTCGCAATACTCTTGAGTGTGATATAGCGATAAAGGTGAAATCATTTTCAACAAATGATAGAAATGAAATTAGAATATTTATTGATAAGATTTTTCCTCAGCATTTAATATTCAATCTTACTTCACATTCCACAATTTCTGTTATCTGAGATATTTCTAGATAGAAGGAATATTTGGTGTAATGCTTCAATTGTTGCTCTGTTCACCTCGTAATGAGCAAATCAGTGAAAATGATATGTTGATAGAAAAACATGTTGATCTTATCATAAAGGTAATTATTGATTAAAAATGTTAGATTATTGAAGAATGAATTTACTTCAAATTTAATCGTTAATTTCTTAAATAAAATTAATCGAATATTAAGTAAGATGGGCAGATGTATGAAAAATTATTTATGATCGTTTGAAGTACAATTATCAATTATTAATTATAATGATTTATAATTGATAATTGTGCTGCATAAATCATTACAATTAATAACTTATAATTGTACTACGAGCAATTATAAATGATTTGTTTATATTACTTATTTTTATATTTGTTTATTTATTTAACTGACAATTTATCAACTTCTCCAATTAGTAATTTAGACTTGTCCAAAATCAATCACTTAACTTTTCTTTCATAATAGTTTGCAAAACTATTTATCAGAAAGCGGCTATCTATTGGCTATTTCTTGGTTGACTTCAATTTTAAGTCTGCTTTGAACAATGAAATTAGCAAAGTATTCATAAAGTATATTTCCTTGTTCTATAATTTTAACCAGAGCTTTCTTCATGTAGGATTCGGATGGAATCGAAGAGATAAGCCATAATGTGGTGCTGTTTGAGAAACTTTTTATTGGTCATTCTTGGCGACATATTGCTGCCGTTATCGATAAAATAGACACTAAACTTGGTGGTAATGGATATTTCAGAACACAAATTATTTATAATAGAAATATTCCAAGCGATATCAAAAATATGTTACATACCATAGGTATGTTGCATTACCGTATTTATAAATGTTTATTATACATGTTTCATATTTATATATGCTAAAATATGTTGCATACCATATTTATATATGTTTACAGAATTTCAAAGTTAATTTAAAAAATTAATTAAAAATTAAATTAATTAAAAGTTAATAGTTAAATGAATGCAAAGTTAAATGAAGACAATAACATTTGTAATCATTTCATAAACAATTTAATCAGTTTTAATTAATTTACACATTACTAATATCAAATTTTTGTTATCAAATATCAATAATTGCTGTAATTAATTTTGCTATCTTTTCAGTAAAAATATCTCATAATACTCAGTGGTATTTTGCGGAAAAATTATATAATGCATTGTGCAGTTCGAAACCTGATCATGAAACGATCATAAGAATTATTGTAAGCAGGAGTGAGGTTAATTTTTTCCTTTCATTTTCGTTAAATTAATCATTCTTCAAATCTGTTTAATTCAATTGAACTGTAACTTTAAGCTTGTTCCACGAAAATGCAATAATTCTATCTTTTCTGCAGCAAAAGTTTTTGTTAACTTATAATCAGTAAATGTTAATATTTCAAGCACTTATCAAACAAATAGCTTAACTATGTAAATTAAATGAAATTAATAAATGACAAGTTTACTATGTAAACTTTACTATGTAACTGTACTACCTCACTTACTATATTATTTATATTGTTTATTCATAAATTCTCAAAATTCGTGCTATTTTTTAGTTCTTTTATTTTATCTTAAAATTAAGATTTTAATTAAATGTTAAAATTTTTTGTAATAAAATTAAAATAAAAGAGAGAATATTTAAGGGAATAATTAATTACGCATAATTTTATAGATTGATTTATTAGATATTTGTTATGAATATAGGAAGCATTATCGTCATTCACTCATCGTCGATATCAGGAAAATATGCCGCGGTGATTATTATCGTTTACTCGCTTCACTTCTCTCAAAACAGCAATAATTTTGAATTCTGATTTGTTATCATTTCTTTTCTTGCTGCTATCAATTTTTATAATAAATAAATTAGATATATATAATTTTTGATGATATGATGAAATTTTCCGATTTATTTTTATTTCCCTATTTATTCAAAATTTTTCGCTTAATTTATTTTCAAATGAAATTTCATTAAATTGATGCGTTCTTAAATTTTAAGCAAATTGTTGTATTCTTAAATAGAGAAATTATAAAGAAAAGATTTGCTTAATTTATATGATATAAATTACTGTAGTTATAATTTTAACTTTTCCACAATCACTCCTAATATAATGACAAATCTTTTTAACATTTATGATAAATGTAATGTTGAATAAATTACTTCTAATTTTTCTCGAATAACTTTCTTCACTTATCATTATCACTATAAACTATGTGTTATCATATTTTGAAAATGTTGCAGTAAGGAATGTTTCATAGAATGTGTTGTTAATAATTATATGTTATATAAATAATTTTTCTTATTGGAAACTTGAAATGAATTATTTTAGCGATAGGAAAAAACAAACACACACGCACACAATTTTGTTTTAAAATAATTGGATAGCAATGATCAGCTAGCTATTAGAGTGTTCAATTGACCTTATTTAGTGTTCAGTTGACCTCACTTTCCATATTTCATTGTTAATTCCATTTACAATGCTAATTTAAACATTATCCTATTTGCTTACTTATTATTGCTATTATTATTATTAATTATTATCATTATCATTATTATTATTAATATTATTATTATTATTACTTCAAAATATTAGAATTTTCCAAAATGCCAGAAAACAATTTAGAAATGAAATAATAAATTTAACTATGCTAAAATTATCAATGATAATTTTTATTTATTCTTATTCATTAAGAAAAACAAATAGTAATTATTCATAATAATTCTTATTTAAAATTCAAAAATTTTAGCTAATTTTTCCGCAATATTTATTATATATGGAAAGGAAGATAGTAAAATGCGATTATTGTTTGATATTTTAATTTTGTAACTGGTAGTGAAATTTGTTTTCGGTGCTGTTAATTCAACGTTTTCTTCTGATCAGCTATCCGATGCTATAACTATCAGATGATAAAAATGAAACCACCAAGTTTGCTTTCTGATTTAATTTCATATTAATATGTAATTATTATTTCATATTTTTAATTTTGTGAATGAGATTTAAAATTTGTTTCGCTGGCTGTTAATTTTTGCGTTTTATTCGAATCAACTCCACGATACTATAATTACCAGTTGATAAAAACTGATAATTATCAGTTGATAAAAAGTTTTGCATTTCTTATTTAATGTCATAAAATGGTTTTTTAAAAATATTTTACAAATCCAATTTTTTAAAGCAATTGCAAAAATTTCGTGATATATTTAGAGAAATTTATTGCAATAATTAATTATTAGTTTGTTTAAATGAGAAACAATTTGAAAACTCAAAGTTTTTGCAATTAAATTTTTTTAAGATAATGAAAAAAACAAAGGAAAGATATTAATTAGAAATTACCTGAACTTTTTCATTATAAAAATTTAAATATTGAGTATCTAATAAACTTTTTTATAATAAATGAATGAGAAAACAAAAAGATTCGTTTTTTAATATTTAATTTTAACATAATTAATTATCATAGGAATAATTTTCAAACAATAATTTGCATCAATTGCACGTTTAGTTGTAACTTTCAGTGACCATTAAAGGTCCACAACAACTTGAAAAAGGTCTAATTGTTGGTAAACGTTGGAGGATTATTAGTAAATTAGGCGAAGGTGGTTGTGGTGCAGTTTATAAAGTAGAAGATATTCAAACATTTGCTAAAGTTTGTAATTAATCCTTCGTTGACAATTTTATTTTCATAATTAATTCATAAATAAAAATTTCATAATTAATTTATTAATAAAATAAAAAAGAATGGGAAATCATTTGGAAAATATTTCAGGCAGCACTAAAAGCTGAATCAAATTTTGTTGAAGGTGGCAGTATTTTGAAATTAGAAGTGCAGGTTTCTAAAAATTTCTTCTGAATGATTCTGAAATTAATTATTCTTCCTAATTAATATGAGATTCTATTTTGCAACTAATTTCTAACTAATAATTAGCAAGGTTACAACAATAAGATTGCATCGGTAAATGATAAATCTGATAAGATAAGAACATAAAAAAAGAATAGTTAAGATATATATATGAAGCATTTTAAGTTAATTAAAAAATTTTTTTTAAAAAAAGATTAAAACTAAAATTTACTAAAATTTTTTTATGAATTATAATTTGTATAAATAATTGGCAGGATAAAATTTGAATGAGATGAAAATAAAAGTGAAATTTCAAATTAATTAATAAACAAAATAAAGAATTTGTGGAAAAATAACAATTGAGATATCTTAGAAAAATCATTAATTAGATTGTTTAAAATTTCTTTAGTTATCTGATTATTTCTTTGTTTCTCAATTTTTATGATACTACGAAAAATTCTCTTATCACTAATACCAATGATATCAATGCAGATACTCAAACGTTTAGAAGGTCGTAAATATGTGATACAATTATTTCAATCTGCCAAAAAAGAGACGTTAGAATTTCAGTATCTTTAAAATTTTATTCAAAAAGAACTTTCCAAATTTATTCCATCCATTTTTATTAATAGATATATTTCCATGATAATGCAAAAATTATCAATAATTTTTGAGAATTTTTAGTAATAGATAACTTTATGCTTCCATCTGATATTATTATCATTTTGCACTTCTAGAACATTAATTACAGAGGTATTCATTCATATATGGTGATAATACTTCTAAGATATTAATTACAGGTATTCATGCTCATATATGGTGACAACATTTCTATAATATCAATTACAGGTATTCATATATGGTGATGACACTTCTAGGACGTTCGCTTAATCAACTATTTAAGCAATGCCCTGTATGTACCGTTTCAACGCAAGTACGAGTTGGAATAAATATTTTACATGGCCTAAAACAATTACATGAAGTTTGTTGTTTTTGAAAACTTTTTTTTCGCATAAAAATTATTAATTATTAATTAGGAAGAAAAAAATGGTAAAAATTTCGTAATAAGAAATATCACAATAATATTCCCTTATTATTTATTCTGGGAGATGTTAAGGTTGGTTACATTCATCGAGATGTGAAACCAGCCAATCTTGCTATTGGTCGACGAGGTCAAGCTATTCATATCATTCACATCCTTGATTTTGGCTTATCACGAGAATATGTAATACGAAATAATGGTAGTGTTAAATTACGAATGCCTCGAACAAATACTTTATTTCGGTTCGTTTTCATCATCCTTTTTTTTGACATCTTGCAGGGCCAAAAAAAGCGTACGTCGTAAATGACGTACGCTTACTTATTTATTAGTTAGTATATTTGCTTAAAGTTTACGAAATGATTTGATAGATTTTTGATGAAATAAAATAACATGATCATCATTTAAGATCATTTAAGAAGATCATTTCATTGAAAAATCTTTTCAGTTCCTAGATCATTTGAGAAGAAACAAAACATTAAAAGGCTAATCCTGATCTTAATCTTATATTTCATGACCTAAGTTAATACAAGTTGAATATAAGACAAAGTTTTTATTTAACTTCTTTATTTTATTCTATTCCTTATAATGTTGAAATCAGGAAGATGAAATTAAATTATAGCGGTACAATAAGATATTGCTCCGCTAACACCCACACACGGAACGAACAAGGACGACCAGATGATTTATGGTCAATGGTTTATGTTTTGGTAGAAATGCGTGGTTCCTTACCATGGGATAGTATTCGGTATTTTTTTAAAAAATATTCTTTCAACATTTTCAAAATTTTGAGTTCATTTTTAAACGGATCATTCAAACGATAATTAAATAATTAAAGTAATTAATTGCAATTAAAGAAGTAGTAAAAATGAAATTAATAAGGCAGAATTCAAAAAATGCTCGATTGAATTAAATAATTAAAATAAATTTTAGTGGTAAGGATGAAATTGGTAGGGTAAAATTTCAAACGCTCGATACAACGTTGTGCAGCAATAGCCCTAAAGAACTTCTTGATGTTAGCTTTTGTTGTTTTCTTTCCGTTATGAAATTTTTTACGGTTATCTTTTAAAAATTCAATTAAATAATAATTAATATGATTTATCACTTTTTTACTTCTTTTAAATTTTAGCATTTATTTTGTTTAAATTTTAATAATTATTATTTTATGAGATATTTATATTCTAAATTTTGAAATTGCTAATTTTATACTTTAAATACTTTTTTAATTAAAAGATTACAAGCCATCTTCGAACTTTGGATTATTATACACGTCCAAATTATGCATACATATATGAAAGATTGTACAAAGTGATGCAAAAATGTAATTATAAGTAAGTCTTCCAAAGATTATTTATTATTTTTAAATTTCAGAGTAAAAAAAAGGGTTATATAACATACTGTATAAATGTACTGTATACTGTATATAACATATGGTATATACTATATAAGTGTACATTAAGTAGGATAATTAAGATGCCAGTTGTTTTAATTAAAGATTTGATTAAAATTTAAAACTATACATAAAAATATTTTAATTATGCTAACTTGCAATGATATAGGAAAAATTTTTAAATTTAAATTATATAATAAGCAAAAAAACTTAAGTAAATTTAATTTTAAAATTTTAAAAATATCACCATTTTCATTTTTAACAAAAACAGAATTTATATTGTATGTGCCCGAAAGTTGTATGATCATATCTTGTCAGATTCAGCGATCCATATGATTGGGAGGAACCGGCTTTTACCACTATGAGTTCAATTAGGAAGGGCCTAACATATGTAAGCCGATCATTAACACGAGTGCGTCCCCATACACCAGCATCAGCCGATATGTAATAAATCTTATCCTATTTTAATAAAAAAACTTAAAGAATTGCTTTCTATCAGTTATCTATCAGAATCTAGTATTATCATGATTGATAATTCGTAGATGATAACTTTCATTAATTGGAGAAATAATAATTCGAATTAACACGTATCATTGTTAGTTAATAACCACAACGTATGTAAGCCGATCACTTTTGCGATACACTAACATCGATAAAATTCATGAATTTAAAATAATCCATTCATACTTTTGAATTAGTTGAGAATTCTTTATAGATATATTTTAATGTATTCATTTTCATCAAATCATTTCTTTAAGATTTTTAATTTACTTTAAATTTGCTAAATTATCATTATCTGTAGTTGTCACAATTAAAGTTTGATTATAGAATTAGCGAAACAAGAAGCACAAAAAGTGAAATGACTTCAGCAGCAACTTCAGAAGTAACCAATGAGGATTTTTTCACTCAAGCAGACTTTGAAAGTAATGAAACCGGATTTTAATATCCTATTTGATGCTACTATTTATAATCTGTTAATTTATTACGCTTCCGTCCGTATATTGTAATTACAGGAATTTCAATTCAGAAATATCAGGAAAAAATCTTTTTTCTTTGCGAGATCATATAAAAAAGTAATAATACGACATTGTCTACGCAAAATTTAAAAATTAAACATAAATCTAAATGCTTACTTCAGTTGAACATCTTACTCAAACCTATTATGAATTTCGACCGATTTCGAAATGAAAATAAACAAACTTTTGATCTTCCTGAATTCTAGGAATTATTATTAGATTCTGAGAGTCGTCTTCGAAATGGAAATAAAGAAACAAAGTTTGCATCTTCCTAAATTCCAGAAATTATTCTTAAATTCTGAGTATCATCAACGTCGTCAAATATCTTCCGAAATATAAGAAGCAACGATTTCAAAAACAAACTTCTTTACCTAAATTTGAAAATAATTTAGTAAATTGATTTAGGGAATAGAAAGAACATTGCTTTAAAAGAACAAACAGAATCGATCCACTCCGATTATAATTTCTTGTTTGATACGAGAAGCTCAGTGAACTTTTATGCAGCAGTATTGATAATCTCTTAAATCACTTTTACTAATTATCATAGTATAATTATGTGAGTTAATCATTTCGTAAGCAGCAGGAAATGGTTTGATACCATTTTACTAAATAAAGGAGAACGAAGGATTTTTGCGCCTATATTTATGATATATCATTATCCCATCTATCGATATGTTATGTTCAAAAAACACCGCCACCGGGTTTTTCCCAGTCATATGGAAATTCCTGGCATCCCATAGATTGAAATGATTGACGCATCAGTTGATAAATTTGCTGATATGGTGGTTGATCGTAATATTTAAGTCCATCAACGATTTGCAAAATTTGTCTCAGTTCCGGAGCGCAACCACCCAATAGCTCATTTATTGCTGGCTCAAAACGACATCGCTTCTTATATTCACCAACCTGAAATAATTGCTTCAATAAACATATGCAAATATTTTTTTAGCATTTATCAACACTCCACGACTAAAACGATTATTTGTATTTCAATTTTTTATTTCAAGGTAATTTATTTCCATTTCAGAAATGATAAAAGATAAGAATAATAAGAAATAATTTTGAAACAAACTTGATTCATATCAGCGATATTTTTCCACGGTAAATTTCCGGTGGTAAGTTCTACTTGCATGTAAATCCATGTTTCAACATCATCCTTGCGGCATAGCTCACGTTGAAGATGGCATGATATAGGCGCATAACGTACTGTACCACGGAAACCGGCTGCTGCTCTCGGTTTACGGATAACATTCTACAAAATATCATGAATTTAATCATCAATCATATAATTTCTTCCAAACTAAGTTTGTAAAAATATCATTGTATGATTATATTTTTCGAAGAATTGAATAATTGCCTGAGCATTGGTGAATTTTCGACACATTCCGAAATCAAGTACATAAATTTTTCGTAATTCATTCAATTCTGGACGACCAATTGTGTAGTTTCCAGGTTTTACATCTCTTAAAATATATTGCAATTATATGACTACGAGAGAGTTCAAGAAATTTATCAAACGAAATTATATGAGGTCGCGGTTTAAAAAGGATATGTTTAGGAATTCAGGCAGGAAATGGTTTCTCGTTGAACCTGTGAAGATAGCCAATTGCATGAAGATCTTCCAGTGCTTCCAATGCTTGAATTCCTGCACCAAGTGCTGTACCCATTGAAAGATGTTGTCCTGGACCTGCTTTACGAAGATCCTAAAATTTTTAAATCTCCAAAATTTTTCAAATTTTAAGGGCACTACACTTTTAGTTTCTTCTACATTTGTTTCATGCATTGATGTATTAATTTAATCTCGACTTTTTTCAAGCTTATTTTTATCATTTTTATCATTCTTAATTAATACCTGCAGACTTTTGCCGACTAAAGTCATGACGACATAATTAAATGATCCGAAGCGTCCTTTGTCTTCGATTTTGCAAAAATGTCGATTGTTACGTTTATTTAGTTCAGTAAGTACAAATACCTCCATTTTAAGTACCTGAAATAGATCGACCTGACAGATGAAATTAAAAAAGTTTAAATTCAGGCATATGAAGTTCAAGCTTTATCATGTCATAATAATAAGTATAAAAGATGAAAATGCCTGATAAAATGAAAATGAAAAATGAAATATGCCTAATACACATGAAATAAAAATGGCATGCCTGAATCTGTTCGTTGACACCTTCAACTTTTAATGCATATTTTCCGGTTGGATCTGATACCTTTAATGGAAAAGTTTTTAGATAGATTTTAGAACAAAATTTTCTTCCCAAATATTTCAATCATTTGTTGAAATTTTATACTTCTTTTTTTTAAATGATTTTACAATAATTCAAAAGGATACCAAATAAACAGCTCCAAAGCCACCTTCACCAAGTTTCTTATCAATATGCCATCGATCAACTTGATCGCCAGGATTAAGTTGCACTAGTTGTTGAGCCATTTCCGATTCCGAAGTTACCGCTTACTCCTACGTCCTACTTATGAAATTCTAAAATGATTTCTTTCAATCATTTTTAACCATTTTTATAATCTTTTTTTTCTACAACAAAATTTGCATGATATTTCAAATTTGAAATTTTTCATTTAATAATTTAAAAAAAATTGATAATTGGCATCTCTATTGCATTACAAATGAATTTATGAAAAAATTATGCAAATCATTTCGATGGCGTTTTTCAAAAATTTTTTGAAATACAAATGAGAAATATTTGTGAGCAAAATCAGTTATCCCACAAAATTGCAACCTTTTAAGCAATTAATTTTCTCTTTCATAATTATGCGAATTAATTATTTTATTTTATAACGAATGAAATTAGCATAATTCCTAATCAATTAACTTCCTACAACTATTTTTTTCAGATAGCTAAAGCTGATACATTTCATTAATGCAAATTACGACTGATAATTTTAATGCTACTACAAAAAAGAATCTAAAAAAAAAAAATTGGTGACACTTCAACTATTGAGGTTAATAATGATTTGTCGATTAGTTTCTTAAAGTAAAATATTGCTATCAGCTGATTGGAATGTCTCGGTTGAATCACCATCATACAAAACACCTATTACCTTGAATATATTTCATTATGCTTCCATTTTTTTTTAACAAATTGCTTTCGGATTGGAATCATATATCATTCTAGATCATATTCTGTGGAGTACCATTTCCACTCGGTACACCTGGTGTGGACCATCTTTGCATATCCCCGGTAAACATCAATGTTTTTCTCCCATTAAAATAGTCCTGTTGATTATTGCTTGCTCATTTCGTATCTTTTTTATAAATTTAAAAATGTATTAACTTCCTATTTATAAAACGATATAAAAGTATTAACTTCCTATTTATAAGACGATATAATGATAAAAAATATCTATATTGATTGATTACATATTGACAATAAATTTAAAATGAAAAATAAATTATTGAAATTATTCAAAAAAAATTATAGTCAACAAACATATCCCGTATCATTGATATAACATATCATTGATATGTATTATGGCATAAGTTTCTTCCGATGTTGAATATAAGTGAGGATCCATTCGATCGGTGTACCATTATTAATTCAAAATTTGTTTTATTTATCTAAATTTCTTTTTCGAATTCTTTCGAGGAAATTAAAATCTAAATTTCAAGATTTAAATCGTTTCATATATAAATAATTGCATATTTAAAATTAGTTGATCGTTTAATTTTTCTAGTTTTGCTCAGATACTACAAAACTGTTTGGTATTTATGTGATGGTAAAGATGATTGTCATTTTTATCATTGTTATCAGCAACTGATTTTTTTCAGGATAATATCAAAATAACAGATTATTAAAATATGATAAATTCATTAGCTGTACATCTTATGGATGAGAGATAAGTATGATCATTTGTTATTACATGTGGTCATAATATATAATTTCAATGTTTCAGTTTACAACTAGCATCTGTATTGGCTCATAAGAATGATTGGCTAGTGGAAAATACACTTATCATTGATATAACTATTCCTCAAATTTGCGTAACTTTACGTACCGATCACAATCTCCTTCTATCACCTTTTTTACACTGACCCAAAACTAATCTACATGTTATCTCCGCGATATGCAAAAGAATATGGTATTCACAAATATAGTGGAAACTGTTAAAAGGAAAGAATATTTTTGGGAGGGAATGAAGCAAGAAATGGAGGTTTCTGTTTTTACCTGTCAAATTTTTTGATTGAGAAATTAGTTGTACATGTGATATCAATGATGCCATTCTGATAACTGATATCATCTCTGCAATGAATCACTACTTTTTAAGAGAAAAAAATAGAAGTGAATATCGTCTGATATTTTGCTTCTATCCTTCCACTTAGTAGAGTCTAAAATAAAGCAGAAATAAGTCGTTTTCATTTTATTGATGAATCTAACGTATCAATTAAAAGATATATAGTTGTGTATTATTATTTTTAACTATCAATATATTTAAAAGATTTATTTTCATTCAGAATCTAACAACTCAAATTTAGACTAATCAACTGGAAAATAGGCTAATAAGGCTGTGCAGAATATTTAAATACTTACTATTGCATTTCCATTTCAATAAATTCTAAATAAGAATCCGAAATGTGATATTGAAAATGTAATATCCATTTCAGCGATTATTTTTGATACTGTAGTAAATGATTAAATTCATGATAGGTAGTAAAAATAGGTAGTAAATTCATGATCGCTAATTTAGAATATATTGCAGTAAATGATTGGAAAATATTTTGTGAATTTTATTTCTTGAATTTTATTTCTTTCTTAATTTTATTTGTTGCTTAGAGAAAACACTTCATATGGAAATTACTACAGTAAGAGTAAAAACTGAATTATAGTAGCCGTGTATCATATACTGATTTATTACTTCAAACTCTCATATTTTCATATATCAAATTTACTATCACAAAATCTGAATAGGT